ACTAACGCCATTCAAACTGCTCAGCCTCCTTTGCTGTCCCTGAATGTGCCATGTTGTGGAGCCGTTGCTGGGCTGTTCCCTGTACCTGAAAAATCCTTCCTACAGATAGTACATAGCTAATTAATTGTCTTTTTTCATTTAAGTTTATGCTCAAGTGTTACCTTCTTAATGAGGCCCACCGTGACTGCTTTATCTAAAATTGCAACCCTTCTCATACTTATAAACCCCTTTCTCTTCTGTATTTCTTTCCTTCACATTACTAGCCACCTTCTATTGTACTACAGAATATATTTACTGTGTGCATTGCTTGCCTGTAATGACTAGCTATAAACTAGATATAAACTCCAGGAGGGCAGGTAGCACAAACACCCAGAGAAAGTGTCAATAAATATCAGATTGGTCTATATTGCACATGCATGAGAGAGAGAGAGAGAAAGAGAGAGAGAGAGAGAGAGAGAGAGAGAAAATCCAACTAAGTATTAAATACAAAGTTACCAAGGGATTATTATTGTATTCTTAGGTTATTTCCTGCTTTTAATCAAAAACTTCTAACTCTTCTTAGAAGCAGCCATTCTATTTTACATTTTCTCCATATAAAACCCATTCTTCCTCTGTTTCTACAAAATATTAGAGAAAGAGCTTCCACTAACTCTACAAATCCATCCCAGAGGAGTGTAGCACGAGATTAAAAATGAGCCTCTGGTTATAATTTACAGATTTAAAACACTAACTTAGAAAAAAATCATCAAAACATGTGCCTCTGTTGAACTTATTTATCCAATATAAAAAATGAAATAGTAAAGGAGGCCAGCAATCATTTGGTTTACAACATAAAACTTAGAGAGAAAAGTAACATGATCAATGTGATGGGTCCTTGACATTTTGTTTCTGGAATGACCCAGTTTAGGGAATAAGGTTCCCCAGCTGAGCTAGCTCTGTCATCCTGGCAGGAGGGTTACATACTGGGCACACTTCATTCATTTCCCACCTGAAATTTTCTAACATAGAAGGAGGGGCTACTACTTGCACCTAATGATGTCAACAATGAGTTTCTATACTTATTTCAAAAAAAGTACCTTGATCTCTCCATTGTTCTGAGGAGTATATATGAAATAGTTTCCATTTTTCAAAAGCTAGATGATTATGAAATAATTTCTGGAAGAAATGGTGGAAATATCACTTACAAGTTATACATGATTGCTGTGGGGATGCTATTCATAAGCTGGCTCACTGAAGACATAGCCAATGTTAGAAATAACAAAAGGAGAAAACTTCAAAATGATTGACATCATATAAATAGAAAAAAAAAAGCTCACAAAAGCTCAGCAAGGGATGCCTAAAGATGTGGTCACTTCTGTTAATCATTGTCATAATCTGTGCTTATTTAATGTACATACCAATCCATACTTATATCCGAGCAATTTGAACATAAATTCAGCTGTAAAGCTCTATTCTGTCTCAGTGCTCAACGCTGAAGCTGGAGGTATTGCACCATATTTTGTTTATACTTCTTAAATTTTTAAAAAATCTTAAACCACATTTTAAATAAATGGCAACATGTCTGGATGGTTCCCATCTACAAGGAAGGTGATAGAATCTGTTTTATTATAGGTTTGTCACATTTTAATTTAGTCCCAATTTAGTCAATTACTGCCAAAGTTATGGAACCAATTTTGTAGTCTTTAAGTTTAGGGCAATTCTTTCATATTTTAAATCAATATTACATCTTTTGAAAATCTCTTTGGTTTTCTTCCAAACTCCAAAACAAGAGGTACTTACTTTATGGCAAATTCTTCATCTCTGGTATGCTCTTAATAAGAAATACACGGGACTCATTTGTTCTGCCTAGAAGTTTTGATAGAGGGATTTTTTAAAAAATGTGTTTCATATTTATGCTAAAAATAGAGAAATTATAAACACTTTTAAAGGAAAATCCTTTTATTAACTTATTAAAGAATTAGGGATATTTATGAACTAACAAGGTTTATTTGTTCTGTCTAGAGATTTTGAAGTCTTTTTTTAAGTGTGCTCCATTTTTATGCTAAAAGTAGAGAAATAAGCATTTTCAAAGACAATCCTTTTATTAATTAAAATTTTTAAATAATTAGAAATATTTAATGAATTAATAAAGAAGACTCAGTTTTCAGGAATGTTACATGGTCACTGTAATTACAAAAGTCAACATGAAATCGATTATTATTTGTAGAAAATGTAGCACTTCCTTTTTAAATAATTGATATTACTTATTTTTGCTGTTGTGCAAAATATTGGGTGGAATTTACATAACTCTCACAATTTGTTAAACTTTTGCAGTATATCAGCGGTTGCAATTTCTATTTTCAGATGGTTCGACACAATGAGTTAATATCTTATTAGTATTTGAAATTACTTGTGGGTAGAAAGCAGCAGAAATGTATCATTAAAATGTTATAAATGAATGCATGTCATTAAAATGTTATAAATGAATGCATATCCTTAAGCCTCTTAATTGTGAAACCATTGGTAAAAGTTATCAGAACTTACCAAAAGAAAAGCAGAATATTATTGTTTAAGCACATAAGAGGAAACAGAGTAAAATGAAACTAGAAATTCATAATATTTGTATTATCAAATTTAAAATATTAAGTGAGAAATATATTTTGAAAAATATATCAAAGTAGAAAGAAATGATTAAAGAACAGCTATGGTTAGATTTTAGTCACCAATCATTTATTTTTATTATTCTTATTAATTGTGTTCATACTCTCTATATAAGTCTGTATTCTAATTTTGAAAATAAATATTTAAATAAAAAATAGCCAATTTTAGCATGTCTCAATTTATTAACTTGTTAGGTAATGCATTGACTTAAAAACACACCTTAAATGTACTTCACTATAGAAAATATTAATAGCATATATAAAGCAAATTGAGAATAATTAGGATATCAGCTTATCAAAATTTTCTGAAGTATATGGTGATTGCTTAGGCTGACATGTAGAAAATGTGTAATTATCTGATTATCTTATTCATTTGATCATAGTATCTCTACAGAGAGTTCAGGCACAAACATATTTTGGAACTTGAATTACTTGAATTTTCTTGCTACCTTGATTTTATATAAACATATATAATGTTTGTAAACTGTACACACACACACACACAGAAATGTGTAAACAGTGTCCATATGCTTCAGCCAAAGACTGCCCAGAACACACCTGTATTTGAATAAGTTGGGTTGTTCCTTGTTGCAGGAAAGGAGAACACAGGCTGCATTTGTCTCAGTAAGAGGGCGTTAGAAGGAAACTTTAGAGGGTTTGGGCTTTAGTTGGCTGACTGAGAAAGGGTCTAAAGCAGCAGGGATTCACTCTAGATTGGGTGCTGTTAGCTCATCAACTCTGTGATTGGATATCTTAATGAATCTTGACTATAGAGAGGGCAAGCTGGAATAGGGATAAAGCTGTAATTGCTAAAGAAGTAGCAGTCACTCATTTTGGCCAAGAGAGGAAGTTTAGTATTTTATGAGTGACACAGTGACCCGTTTTTGTCTGTGCTGTCAAAATTATGAAGCGCCTTTGCTTTGTCTCATTTTATTGTAGTCTCAGAGCAGCCTGGTCTGAAGCTGGGATTCTGGGAGATTCTGTGATTGTTTATGTCTATTGGGAGAGTCATGTGGTCTCGCTGTGAGGGCTGGGTCAATTTCTCATTGTCAGGGTCTGCTCTTCTTTCTCAAAAACTTCAGTTATTCTTATTCTATAACTGGCAGATCATATCACCCCTTTTGCAACAAGTACAATCCGATTTTAGGCTGGGTTAAATACGTGTGAATATAAAGGCAATACTCTCCCCAGAAAGGACAGTTCAGTACTCCTCATCGGTCCTCTTTCTAAACAGCTGGCCCTTTCAAGAGCTGATCCTCTCTCCTCTCCAGTTTGCACTTGAGAACCATGTTGCCTTCTTTGTTGTCCCTAGGAGAGTATTTGGAAACAAGACAAAAAAGAGGCAATAATCTTTCCTTGTGATAAAAGTGATGATAAACTTGGATTTTCACTTTTACTTTGTTTTGAAAGAAGCATTCTCATATGTTTTTAATAATCTATAACAGAAAATAAACCTTTTGCTACACTTAGCTCAAGCTCTCTGGTCTGATCACTAAGCATTGCTAAAGGTCATTTGATTCTGAACTGCCCCCCCCGCCCCCCAGATCTTTTTTTACTAGAAAATGAACATCTCTTGCTTCTGCCATTTAGAAAATTTTCTACGATTCTATACTTAGAGGTATTCCTTATTTTTTTACAGAATGACTTACTTGTCTACTTGCATGTTAGTAGGACTAGTATAAACATTAATTTATGGAATAATTTATGATATCCTAAAAGTAATTAATTTGTTCTTGTTTATGAAACTTAGGAATACAAGCCACACTGTTACCATAACTGCCTATCTACCCACATGTTTATTCAGAAAATATTTGCTGAGTATATGACATGCCCATGCAGCTTTGTCCTAGGCATTGGGACACTAGGAAAGGAGGGAGAAGAGGTTAAGAGTCCAGTCTCTGGGTTGGAATTTCTGCTCTGCCACTTGTTGATTGTGCATGTTGGGCAATTATTGGATTTCTCGAAACTTACATTCTTTCTCTGCAACATGCGGGGATCATACTGATATTTTCCCTTAAGGCTGTTGGATGACTGAAAGAGAAATCCGAATTAGTGCAGAGCTTGTCACAGTACTCAATTAAAGGCATTGCTAGTTTTGAGGATAAAGTGCTGAGTTACTAGATGCTGTCCTTCTAGGAACTGATTGAGAATCAGGCTCTGCTATCTAGTGAGATAACTGGGAAGCTTGGAGGCATTTCACTCTCTCAGTGAGGGTATTAGGAGGCAAAAAGAGGAGTGCTACGGAGAAGGCATTGTCTAAGGAAGGTCCGAAGGATGAGGATAAGTTAGTTGTCTAGGCAGCAGTGGAGGGGAGAGAGAAGGCAGAAGAATCAGGCCAGTGGAGAGCAGGGCAGTTCCATGGGGAACACAGTGTCACGTGCTAGATGTGGCAGAAGGCAGTTCCTGATGGCCAGCCTGTGGACAGGGTCGAGAGGGAGGGAGGTGGTGGGAACTGTGGTTGGAGGGGCAAGTGAGGACCAGATTTCAAGGGCCATGTGTTGAAAACATAGTACCTTGGATTTTAATTTACCCTGAGGACAATAGAGATATAGAGTCAGCCTTCGATATCACTGCTGGACCCCCTCCCAGAATTTTTTTTTTTAAGTGGATAAAAGAAATTGTTTAGAGATGTTTATCGTAGCACATTTTAAAAAACCATTTTTGTCCCTGAACCTAAACATGAGTTAATTATACTCTCATTAATAGGACATAGTGACAGTTGTCCATGGGTGTCCTGGACCCTCTGTTCTTTGATTTTCCTTGTCCCCTCATTCCTCATCCATCTCTTATTCCATTCTCCTTCATTTTAAAGACAGTCATTTCCTGTTTGATACATAGCCTTAAATGTTCATGTATCCTTATAAAGCATATGTTTTATGTTTTTAATTTACCTACGTGGTATTCTGCTATAAAACTCTTCCTGTGCCTACATTTTTCTCTTGATATAAAGCATTCATTGTTGCTATGTGTGCATCTAGTTCATTATGTGTACATCTAGTTCATTGCTTTTAACTGCTGTATAGTCCACATAGAGTATACATTATAGTATTATTTACAATACTTTGAAATAACCTGAATATTGCACACTAAAGAATGGTTAAGTAATCTTGGTATATTAGCAGTGTGAATAACATGCATTCATTAACACGGATAGTTCCAGATGTCATGAGAAACATGTTTATGACAATGTAAAGAAAAGCAGACAAAATTGTCTTTACACTGTGAAAACCACCACATAAACATACATATTCATATGGCCAACGGTTGGAAAGATTCAGAGAAAAATAGAAACAGCTCTGTATGTTGGAACCTGGGAACTGTGGGTAACTTCCTCTTGTAGCTGTTAGACATGATTATGGTGTGCCTAGGGATTTGGCCTACAAACCAGAGCTTTTCCTATAGTATATTCTTGGGGAACAGAAGAGATCAGAGCAATACCAATTTGCTGCCTGCCCCAGAGTTGGCAGCTGGGTGTCCCCCCTCCGCAGAAAGGCTTCCTCTTCACCAGATGTGTTCTGTAGTCACCTTCGGCTGTCTCCTCCCCTTGGGAAATAAGATTGAAGCTAAAAATCTTTTCAGAAGGCTGAGAGAGATTTAGCGCTGCTGAATTTAACTGTCTTCAAGGTTAAACAGAAAAGCAAAGTGTATTAAGAGTTACACATATTATTTTTCCATTTGAGCGAAAAGCAAGATGCATGAACGTGCATGTGCACGGAAAATTTCTGAAGGCATAGACAAAAATCTGTAAACAGCAATTGCCCTGGTGAGGGGGATTGGAGATCTAAGATAGGAGGAAGACATACTTTTCTTTAAAGTATGAGAGATGTGTTTATCATCTTTTTTAAAACCTTGTACCAAGCATCACTTTTTCGATTAAAATTTTAAAAGTTTAAATCTCCAAATTTCATGGCTCTAACTTTTTAAACATCACTTTTTAAATGTCTTACTTTTTAACTCATGAGAGTCTTTCAAAATAACAAATTCGTATTTTGAGCCTCAAATTGTGCATCTCTTTTTAGTGATAAGGACTCAGCCCAATTTGAGGACTGCTTACATGCGTTATGAATCACAATGCACACAATATTCTGACATTAATTCTAACGCAGAATGCAAGTGATGATCAAGATATATTGACCACTAAGAGTACAGTAGGATTCGGATATAATGACAGCTGTTGTCCTTAACATGGACTTGCTTTAACTCTTTGCCAGGTGTGTGTAAGTGCTTCTGCCCCCTCAGAAGTGGCGGGCGTCATCCGTTCTGGTGCCCCACTCCCCTCCCCGGGGCCCCGGCCTCAACCACGCTCTCGCTTGGGGGTCCCTCGGTCGCGCC